GTTAGCAGTTTGAAGAACAGCTGCTTGCTTCTGATTTTCTTTGGCGTCAACAAATGAGTGTCATATAATGCAAACACTAACCAATGAGTGTTTGCGTTATGACTAATCCAATTACACTAGTTTTCACTAGATGTGGATGCCGCCAATGATCTGGATTGTGTAACCTTTATCACTTATGAATATTAGCATGACTGAAGAAAAACAAATTAAATCAGAAATAATTAAGTTCAACTGCTAGAGGAAGTGGTAACTTTGTATAAACACACAGAGACAACAGAATGGTGCAAAATTAGTGATATGGTGTGTTCCTTTATTCAAGGAATCCAACCAGTCTGACATAGAAGGTGCTGTTTCCTATGGTGGTTATATGGGTCTAGCTCGCCAATCTGATCCAACAGACATTCAGAGTCCTGGAGACAGATTATGGAATAAGATCCTAGAACAGGATCCTGCAACAAAATTCTGAAATGGAAACCTGGCCAGTTCCCACTTGTCAAACCTTGTGATCTGATGAAGGTTTTAATCCACAAGGATGCATTTGCATCAGCGTCAGACAGCATCTCCTAGCTGGGCTGCTGCTCATCAGCCTTATAAGCTGCAGCTGTCAATTTAAAAAGCTGACATGCAGCTGGTCATGTGACCATACAACCATGTGAGAACAGAATTATCTCATTTGGCTTTTTTGTTGTGGTAAAGAAATTAGGGAGAAGGGAATTTTATTTTAAGATAAATCTATAACTAAACAATACATAAAACTGAATACAACAAAATGGAAACAAATTTTCCTGGTTACAATTCGATGGCGTAAAATAAATATTAAATAACGAGTAACATTGGTTTTAAAAATGTAAGGAATAGAAAGTACAGATACTTGTGTTAAAATGTAATGAGTAGAGGTCAGAAGTTGGAAGAAAAATAAGTAATGGAGTAAAGTATAGATACCTAAAAAGTTTACTTAAGTACAGTAATTAAGTATTTGTACTTCATTACTTGACACCTCTGATTCACAGAGGGTTTCTTTTCCCTATTTCTATCTAATAACTATTCTAATGTCACTAGAAATTCACCCTTTGTTTTATTCCACTTTTGAATGTGTTTCTACATACAGACAACATGTACATCACTTGCTCTGATGGTATCATGTTTGGTGTGAATGCACCACAAACAGGCAGAACCAAATCTTTTCATGTAAACATCTCAACGGTAAATGTTTTTCCATGATTTTTCAAAGATTTACAAAAACTATTTGTTGTTGTTTTTCTCATATAGATAATCCTCCTATTTGTCAAAATAAACTAAAATCTTCCCTGAAGAAGAGGTTCCAGTGTGTGTTTGAGGGAATTGCAAAAGCGGGAAGTCCAACCTTCCTGAACCAGATCTACACAGAACTTTTCATCACAGAGGGGGGGGCTGGAGATGTTAATGATGAACATGAGGTCAGACAGATTGAAGCAGCATCCAGGAAATCACACAGACTAGAAACAACCATCAGACAAGAAGACATCTTTAAAGTCCCATCTGGAGGAGATGGACCAATTAGAACAGTGATGACTAAGGGAGTGGCTGGCATTGGGAAAACAGTCTTAACCCAGAAGTTCACTCTTGACTGGGCTGAAGGCAAATCCCATCAGAACATCCAGTTCATATTTCCATTCACCTTCAGAGAGCTGAATGTGCTGAGAGGGAAAAAGTTCAGCTTGGTTGAACTTGTTCATTACTTCTTTACTGACACTAAGAAAATCAGTGACTTTGGACCCTTTCAGGTTCTGTTCATCTTTGATGGTCTGGATGAAAGTCGAGTTCCTCTGGATTTCCATAATAAAGAGATGCTGACTGACGCTACAGAATGTACTTCCGTGGATGTTTTGCTAACAAACCTCATTAGGGGGAAACTGCTCCCATCTGCTCACCTTTGGATAACAACACGACCAGCAGCAGCCAATCAGATCCCTCCCGAGTTTGTTGGCATGGTGACCGATGTCAGAGGATTCACAGACCCACAGAAGGAAAACTATTTCAGGAAGAAGTTTAGAGATGAAAAGCTGGCCAGCAGGATAATATCCCACATGAAGACATCACGAAGCCTTCAAATCATGTGTCACATTCCAGTCTTCTGCCTGATCACTGCTACAGTTCTGGAGGATGCAATAAAGAAGGGAGAGGGGGGAGAGTTTCCCAAGACCCTTACAGAGATGTACATTCATTTCCTGGTGGTTCAGATAAAAGTGAAGATGGTGAAGTATGATGGAGGAGCTGAAACGGATCCACACTGGAGTAGAGACAACGTGAAGGTGGTTAAATCTCTTGGAAAATTGGCATTCCATCAGCTGCAGAAGGGAAACCTGATCTTCTATGAATCAGACCTGACAGAGTGTGGCATCGATATCGAAGCTGCCTCAGTTTACTCAGGAGTGTTCACACAGATCTTTAGAGAGGAGAGAGGGCTGTACCAGGAGAGAGTATATAGCTTTGTCCATCTGAGTGTTCAGGAGTTTCTGGCTGCTCTTTATGTTCATTGGACTTTCATGAAATTTGGTGAAAACCTGATTGAAGTAACACCAGCAACCTCAAAGAAGCATACCTTCTTTCAAATGCCAAAATTAAAGTCCCTTCACCTGACAGCTATTGACCAGGCCTTACAGAGTCCACATGGACACTTGGACTTGTTCCTTCGTTTCCTTCTGGGATTGTCCATGCAGACCAATCAGAGACTGCTACGTGGTCTGCTGGCACAGACAGAAAGGCACTCTCAGACCAACCAAGAAACAGCTCAGTACATCAAGGAGAGGATCAGTGAGAATATGTCTGCTGAGAAAAACATCAATCTTTTCCACTGTCTGAATGAACTAAATGACAGCTCTCTTGTTGAGGAGATCCAAAAATCTCTTAGTTCAGGAAGTCTTTCCTCTGATAATTTATCTCCTGCTCAATGGTCAGCTCTGGGTTTCATCTTACTTTCATCAGGGGAAGATCTGGATGTGTTTGACCTGAAGAAATACTCTGCTTCAGAAGACGTTCTTCTGAGGCTTTTGCCAGTGGTCAAAGCCTCCAACAAAGCTATGTAAGTGTAATTTTTAAATATCCACAACACATGTGTTTGAAAATGAAGGCAACCAGATTTTGACTTAATTTTCATAAAAATGTTTTGACTCCCAGGAGTAAAAATAGAATTGTCAATTCGTGCTTCCTGCACTTCAAAAACCTGCAGTTGAAGCCCTTATGTTTTCAACACATTGATGCCCATCTTCGAAGGCACATTCAACCATGGGTCATTGGATGCAGTTGTTTTGCATGAGTTGTCTATTTGGCAATCTAAATCGTGATGAGACTGCTTATTTTTGCCCCATTGACACTAGGCCTCTAAAACCAAGGTTTATATAAAGAAATTTTCTGAGATAGTATATGGAAATATATCTATTTCATAAGCAGTATATTTTGTGATAGCAATGTTATAAGTAAGTCTTTTTTCAATCTGAGCTGACCTTGTTGCCAGGACTCCAAAATACAGTAAGTTGTGAGCCTGAGAGGTTTGATTTTTAAAGTTCTATGATTGGCACACTTAATATAACTAAAGTCCTGCTTATTGACTGTTGTAAATATAAAGCAATAGTAAATGCAATTAAAGCTGTGTAAATAGCACACTGATTGTGACCAAATCCATCTGTATTGTCGATTTAAGGTTCAAAACAGCATAATGCAAAAACTATATGATTCAAACAGCCATCTAAACAGCTTTACATTAAAGAAAAAAGTTGTTTTAGTGATAGGTAGTTCCTTAAATTATTTAATACAGGTATTGTATATAAAGAAGGATGTTTCTATGGGTAAAGGATTTTTGAAACAACTAAAAAATAAAGGTGAGGGTAGAAAAGGAAATCTGAAACTGATGAATCATATTAAGCAATAATTTGTACCTGTCCTACCTCATTTAGAGATCAATTAGAAATGACCCTTTAATTAAGCAGACACAAAGCTGTCCACGGGTGATGCTGAGAAACTAGTCCATGCATTTGTTACTTCAAGGCTGGACTATTGTAATTCTTCATTATCAGGAAGTCCATAAACTGTAGTTAAAAGCCTCCTAGCTTCTCTTCATTGGCTATAAATTGGGGGGGGGAGTTACCTTTTATGGGGAATTTTCTGCAAATTATGATTTGCTTTAAACACATGCTGTACTGAACTTTATTTTCCTTTTACTCCACTCTCCTCTATTCAAAAATGTATGGTAAACTAATAAACATAAACAATTAGAAGCAGCAGTTGATTCTAAGTTTGCTCTAGTGTGAGTCGGCAGCTTTAAGACTCCTGAATAAATGTTAAAACGTTTTTCAAAAAAACCTGAGTAAAAGTGTGGTTGCCTCTGATTTAAGTCTCATTTCTGTGAGAATTTGCACTGGGTACCTGTAATATTTTCTGGAAGGATTACCTTGATGGTCAGCAAACTAATTGGGAGGGTCAAATTAATTTCATATGTAGTTGATAAAATGAATTCTGAATCTAAATTGTTCAAATTTTCTGACTATGCAGACTCAGTGGCTGCAACCTCTCAGAGAAAAGTTGTGAAGCACTATCCTCAGTTCTCAGCTCCCAGTCCTCTAGAGTCACAAACCTGGATCTAAGTAACAATGATCTCAAGGATTTGGGAATGCAGCTTCTGTTTGCGGAATGGAAGACTTCAAAGTACATCCTGGAAACTCTGAGGTAAGAATAAAATATGTGGAAAAAATGTTCCTATTTAAAAAATAATTTCTTGTTTAAGGCTAGTTCAATTAGTTTTATTCTTTACTTTTACATATGTATCAGAAATCACAACTGATCACACATACGTTATTCTTTATAAGAAAAGTCAAATTACCTATTGAGAGAAGGAAATCAGCCCATATCAATTAAATACACAAATGTGTGACAAGAGCCTGTATAATTATTTGCTAGTATGTTTCAACCCAGTCTCATGGGAAAATGTACCCCCACTACGTTGGTCCACACTGCAAAACGTAGTGGAGGTACATTAATGGCCATTTTTTTGTGGTACTTTTACATTTCTTCTGCCTATACCCTTTCTATTGTTTTACGTCCTAGTCACGTGACTTTCAAGATTCCAGCTGAGAGAAGAAAAAAAATATTTATATGGCCGACATTCGCTCATTTTTTTGTGGAAAGATTAATAACTTGAGTTTGTTTTTGCATTAAAATGAGTTTTGATTACATTTCTAGTGAGAAATGTATACTGACTTTTGTACTTTATATAACCTTCTTCCTTTTTATCTTCATTCCACCTTTTTTGCCATTTTTCAATTTCTTTCCTCTTAATAAATGATTTTCCTAGATTTCCTAGATTTCTCACTAGAAATGTAATCAA